CCCCATTGATAAAAACCAGGAGCAATGTAGCACTAAGCTAGCAGGCAACATAGACGTGACTCCATCCCGCCACCGCCCCCCCTCCCCCACCAAGAAAAATAAGATATGACATGCGCCCCACTGAAATGCGTCTGTGTTCGCATGTGACCAATTCACTGCGGCCCTGGACACACCGAAGCCGAAACAAAGTCACGTACTCCCCCGTGCCTCGTCCGAACCTTCCCGGGATTTTTTTCCCCATCTAAAATTTAGCATTAGCATTTGATGCTAATGCGTCCGGAGCGTCAACATTAGCGTACAGACCCGTGTAACCAAACTCCCGTTGGCACAACGAGCGCCACCGCTGCCGGAGCGCGCAGCCTGTTTGAGCTCACGGCGTGACTCAGTTTCTGCTGCTTTAGTTCTTAGAGTCAAACTGAATGAACATTAAAAATATTCTATCGGTACGATCAAGAATACAGCACGCCTCCCGTTAACTTTCAAAAACATCGTTACCTATGTTCTCTCCGTGAGAGCGTTCGTTTCAAGGGTTGTGGTTTATCACGCACCGTAAACGCTGGTGTATAAGCCGCTACTTTTTCTGATGCTTTGGACTCGGCGGCTTGTATAAAGGAGCGGCTAATTTATGTTTTTTGTTTGTTTTTCCCTCTTTCGGCTGCTCTCCTCCTCTCCTCTCAACTAGGCATGGACACCTGCGGCTTATATACCGGCGCACCTTATTTATGCGCAAAACTGTGTTTTATTTTAAATTCAGTAGGCGTGGCTTAGTCAGGTGCGTTCTATAGACGGTATATCTGCAAGCTTAAATTCTACACGAAATTATCACAATAAAAACGAGGTCCAGCGCAGGTTAAAGGACTGGGAGATAAAGTGAGAGAGGCCAGACTGAGATGGTTCGGACATGTCCAGAGGACGCAGAGGACAGAGATGGAGGACTCAGTGTGGCGACCTCTGAAGAGGGAACAGCCGAAAGAACAAGAGAAACAAATGTACTGTACGTGGTCTTCATCAAATGTTAGTTGTTGCTGGTATTAAAAGATAGTTGTGTTGTTGCGCCTCTGCCCCACCCCAGGTGTTTTAACTCAAAGACTTTTAAATCCCCTGGATTCAGGATCGGATCACCGTTGTTTTGTACGGTGGCGACAGCCAGCGCGACATATAATCATCTCCTGAAGGAGGAAAACAAAAACATTAAATAGACCGTGGGAGTCACCTTGGCCTCCTCGGGGAACAGTTTCACAAAGCGGTTGGGGGTCCGACTCCCCACCACCACCTGGTAGCCGGCGGCCAGCAGCCTCGTGGCCAGAGAGCGGGAGACGTCTCCCGTACCCAGGACGCCGACCACCGGATTGTTGGGGTCAGACACGACTTCCAGGTGACCGCCTCCATCTTCAGCTCCTCTTGGGATTAAAGGTCTGGACATGGGATCAGGCATCCTGCACAGAACTGTCCACAGCAGCCAGATTAGTCTCAATCTGAGCTGATTGAAACATCAGCAGTCCGTGCCATTTTAATTTAACAGTTTGTATTTATTTGTAGCTGCGTGTCTGGTTTTGGAACAAAGACTTGACTTCTCAGTGTGTGTCTCTGCTGGCACATCTACACCTGACATCTGCCATCCCATAACAGCCTGACTGGATATTACTTGTAACTTTAATCTGCTTTCATGCTCCAAACAATCCAACTACACGTTAACCTGTACGGTTAGCTTCACCTGTTACCTGTTTAACTTCTAAAAAACGAGAAAGCAGTTGCACCTACATTAACTACCCGTACGCCGAATTAGAGAGAAACCCGCTCAGATTACAAAACATCTGAAGTTATTTACAAAAACTTAGCTGTGTTAGCAGAAAGTGGTAAAACCCTTAAATACTACAGTAAAACGCGGAAGTTCCGTGAAGCTTTGTTTTGCGTCCTTGACCTCCGACAAAAGACTCTTTCTTCAACATACACGTTGACTCTTGCAAACGAACATCGTTTATTTCGACAAACAGAACTCTTACGAGTTATTAAACAGCCTCTGCTCGCAGTTAAAAGTAATATTTGTACTTACAGTCTGTTCCCCGGTGCTCACTTTCACAGCGGACCGCGTTTCCTGATAACGTGACGCGCCAGATGAAGCCACGCCCCCGCCTGTGGAGGGAAGATAAAACGGCACGAGACTCCCACGAGCCCTTCAACCATAAACTTGGAAAAGGTTCAAACTACAAAAACTGAGGGAATATTAAGACGAGATTAAGATTTTAAACAAGTATTTTTAAGAGTTTAACAAATACAAACATACTGTTCAAGTTCAACAGGGGCGATACTAGAATCAGACTTTTAGGGGCACCCAGCCCCCAGCGCTGACATTGGCTCTTGGCTTGAACGTGGTGGCCATTGTCGTCAGAAGCATTTGTAATGTGGGGGGGTCCTCCCTCAGAAAATTTAGAATAAAGTAGATGCCATTTCCTGCATTCTCATGTATTTTAACGGGTTGTTAAACATCTACATTTACCAACATAAGTAAACATTGAATCAATAACTATTTTAAAGAGCTCGGCACAACAAGAAGTTGCGCCACGCTAACGGTGTGCCATACCCAGGTGAAAATGAAATATACTTAAGTATACTGATATTTAATATATTAAATGTATTTGTGAAAATTTTAGAAAATACATTCTAAATATTTTTGAACAACGTAAGTTGTACTGTTTTTAGACATATTAAATTGTACTTGGTATGTACTAGTTTTGTGCTTCAATAATACATTTCGATTTTGATTTAATTGTATTTATAATGTCTTTGCTTAGTAATGTTAATAAAGTTATTATATATTATAAATATAAGTCTTATAAGACAGACACACTAGCTAAGATGCTACAGATGTAGCACACAACCTAATAAACGCTTTGTACAAAATCAGTTTAGCGTTAACTGATCGTAAAGAGCAAACTTGTGCAACCAGAAGTTGCAACATATATCCACATATAAAACACATGAAACAAAGCACAGCTAGCTTTAAGCATTTTTACAGACTCACTTCAGGTTTTGGAAATGGAAAAACTGTATTCCACCCTCTAAATCAGGGCTACGCAACTAAATTGCTCAGGGGGCCACAGTTTCTGAAAGCCAGCAGCTCAGGGGCCGGACATCCAGCGATTAGTCATTATGTAAATAAACCAAGTATTACAATGATCGGTTACCTTTTAAATTGGTCTGTTTTTGTGTATATATATATATATATATATATACCCCCAAAATGAGGATAACATCGCCACTGCGTTTCCAACACATGCGGTACATGAGGTGGAACAAAATTATGTTCTCATGGTCACAGTTGCACCCAAAAATAGCAAAACATAACGCATAAAAAGACACAGTAAATACAGATCTAAGCTAAACGCTAAACACTACTAATGTAAAACAACAGCAGCCTGAACGTGTCGTAGGAAGTCCTGAACATAATGTAGGAACGGAGAGGGAAAGACAATAGTTAACGTTTACGACACGGGGAAACATCAGCAACACATTTATTTTCTTCGTGTAGTGGTGGGCACAGCTAACCAAAGTGTTGCCTTTACTAACCCATATTCCACTAACTTAAAAATATTGCTTGGTTATTGCTAAGCTGGTTAGCGAAAGCTAACGCTGAGCTGTTAGACAACCGTCAGTCAGTCTGCGTCACCGTCTTCTTCCAGTTAAAGCTGCATCGACCGATCACGTCTTGTAGCGCGCACACGTAGTCAGCCAATAGCGTGCTTAACGGACTCTTCGGGACACGCCCACAACAGACAGGAACAAGCTTGTGAATTTTGTTAGCGGGCTTAAAGTTGACGAAATCTAACTTGGCGGGAAATAATTCTAACAGTTCACAAAGTTAGCTGAAATGCTAATCCGCTAAATGTGAAATTTGCTCCACTGTCAGCTGTTAGTGAAACTGTGCCCACTAGTTTTTATGTATTTATTTTGTGTGTCAGTAAACAGCAGTTTATTGAAGATACGCTCCCGTGATGTCAGAGGAACATTACTGCCCTCTAGTGTTCCTTTGGGGACAAATGCACCCTATTGAAATCCCATTATAAATGCTTTTTGTGAGCCCATTTTTTCACATCACAAAGTAATGAAAACCATCTGTAATCTAACATTTAGATAATTTCTTCCAATTTGCATTTGATATATGTGACCCGTGTTAGCAAAACAAGTTAATAGTTACTCCCGCCTCCTGCCGCGGGGCGGGTGTGTTTGATCAAAGAGGCCGTGGGACGAGTGCAGAAAAGCAGAGGCGCTTAAAACAGACGTCTGACTGCGGGGCGTTCGCTGTCACCATGACTTCATCATGTCTGCCTTTGCCACTTGCAAAAGGTTGAATCCCCCCGGCTGCTTGTGCTGCATTCAGTGTCACTGCGCGCGCACGCACGCACACACACAGCTTTTCTTCCTCATGCACTCATATGTGTTTGTGTCAGTGAAGGTCGCGGTTGTTGACATAAATATTTGAAGGTTTGTCGCTGATAAATATCTTCTGGTGACTCCGTTCACTATAGAAAAAAAGCTGAATTATCGTGTTTTCGACTGCGTCCACATGTTCTCTGTTAGCAAAATATCTCGTGAAATGTTCAGGAAGTAACCAACATCTACAACTGATTCAAGATGGGCACCGTATCCAGCATGTCCATGTGATGATATGCATTCCTCCGAGGAATGATTTTAATAGTGTGAACGTTTACGAAGATCCACTCTATTGTGATCCATTTAGCTTCTGTACGTTTTTCAGCATCTTTCTCATGCCACAACTTTTTTTGCCATTTCAACAAATCATCAATAAAAACGTTCGGCTCTTTCAGGACAAATCTGTTCTGACATTTGGTGTTGGTGCAACTTCAGCTTTTTAAAATATTTAGCCTTTTCTGCCATTTTTGTTCTTATAGAAAATGAATTGAGCTCATTTGACCTCCTTCAGACCTTTGGATGTGTTTACAACCTTTTACTGCTCCTTTCACTTTTTGTTCTGCTTCAGCTTCTTTCAGCTTCATTCTGCCAATTTAAACTTTTTTCAGCTACTTACAGCTGTTTTGTGCACCTTTCAGATTCTTTCTGCTAACTACAACAGTTTAGTGCTTCTTCTAACTTATTTCTGCTAATTTCAGCTTGTTATGCTCCTTCCAGCTTATTTCAGCAAATTTAAGCTTTTTCAGATAATTCCACATTTTGTACACTCCTTCCAGCTTAATACAGGTGTTCAGCCTATTTCAAAAAAAAAATGTGCTCCCTCCACTTTCTTCTTGTAATTTCAGCTTCTTTCAGCTTTTTTAGCTACTTTTCAGCAGTTTTTTTTTTTTGGTTGATGTTGCTAATTTCAGCTTTTTTGTGTGCATTTCTGCTTCTTTCAGCCTAACTGGACAAATGTGTTATTTCTGCTTTATTCTTCTAATTTTAGTTTGTTCTAACATTTCAGCTACTTTTTAAGCATTTTTTTTTAGCTAATTTCAGCCGTTTTCAGATAAATTCAAGTTTCTTTATGGTAAGTTCTTCTACTTTCATCCTAATTAACTTCTTTCTGCTAATTTCAGCTTGTTATGCTCCTTTCAGTCTTTTTCTACAAGTTTGAGCTTTTTCTGCTATTTCAGCTACTTTTGTTTTGAGCTAAATTTAGCTTTTTCAGATAATTCCACATTTTGTACACTCCCTTCAACTTTTTTCAGCTTAATTCAGCAAAAATGTGCTCTCTCCACTTTCTTCTTGTAATTTTAGCTTAGTTCCGTCATATTGATCTAATAGGAGTTTCTGCATAAAAACTGACACTTTTATGTCTTCCACAAGGCTCGATCCTTGGCCCCCTTTTATTTGCTCTTTACTTACTCCCCCTCGGCTCTGTTTTTAAGAAACATGGCATTTCATTTCACTTCTATGCTGATGATTGCCAGATCTATTTTCCCATGGCACAACACAACACATTCCAGCAACTTAAACTTTGCCTTAATGATGTTAAACATGTTTTCTCTTAACCACCTTAGTCTAAATTCAAGTTTTTTTGTGGTAAGTCCTACTTTCATCCTAATTAACTTTTTTATGCTTATTTCAACTTTCTATGCTTCTTCAGCTTTTTTCTACTAGTTTCAGCTTTTTCTGCTGTTTCAGCTACTTTTAACTGTTTTGTGACAAATTTAGCTTTTTCAGCTAGTTCCATATTCAGCTCATCCCGCTTCCTCCTGGTCGTTTAAGCATTTTTCTGCCTTTTCAGCAATTTAAAAAAAAATCAGCTTTTTAGCTAATTTCCTAAGTTGTGTGCCCATTTCTCTTTATTTAACCCTAATTCAGCAAATATGAGTTCTTTGCTTTCTTCTGCTAAAGTAGGCTTTGTCTGACATTTCAGCTACATTTCAGCATGCTTTTTAGATAATTTTAGCTGTTTTTCAGCAAGTTCATACACACGTGCAGATTCTCTCGTTTTATTTGTGTTTGATCCGTTTCATGAGGGCAAAGAATGGGTTTATGGCATGTTGAACATTGTGGTGCAGGAGGAAACTAAAGGTCAGCGGTATTTTGCCGGAGGTGAACAGGTGCAGTTACACCAACAGGACGTCGCCGTCAGGGAATCTGCACCCGTGCGATGGAGGACAGAGGCGTCTTCGGTGGCGTTCATGCGTGAAGACAGGAGCTGATGTTGCAAGTTCTCCCAGCTGTCGTGTTGTGGTTGGGTGATGGTTTCTCACGGGCGCTCGCAGTAATGGTCTGTGACGTTTTACTCACAGTTAATACAGGAGGGTTCACTAATGCACAATGAGTGGGATTAGAGCGACCAGCAGTTCACCCTGAAACAAACACCAGCTGGTCATGAATGTTTAAAAAAAAAAAGATTCAAACAGCAAAACGAGGCCTACCGGTCCTTGAAGGAACGCATTTCGCCCCAGCCTTTCATGTCAGAGTTGACTAAAGTCGTCTTATGTTGAGGAGTTATGGTCAAAGCTAGTAAATAACGGGATGCATCATCTCATGAGTACATGTTGAGTATGACTCTCAGGTACTACCACACCAAAATGTACCTCAATATAAAAACTGGCTGAGTTGGAGACATTTTTGTGTTTACGGAAGTCGGCTAGCCACGAAAACCT